TAGCCGGTTTAATACATATTGTAATCCCCGGATTAATAAACCGCCCCCCTCCCCACGTGGAAGGTCTAGAAGGTCCAGAAGGTCTGAGGTACGATTCATGAGGTCCACCTCCCCTGAATAATCTGCTCAGGGAGTAGTGGTAGTGGTAGTGGTAGTCGTACTACTAGTCGTAGTAGTGGTGCTTGTAGTAGTCACAATAAGTTTAAACAAGCGCAAACAAAAGGCCAGGGACACAGGATCAAATTAATAGGGGGTAGTAGTGCATATTATTGATGGGGGACCGGCCCTTGTGAGGGGTACCCTTTGTGAGCTTGTCAAGTGATTGTTTTTAGTTGCTTTTCAATAAGGCAATTTATAGGCCCTGAGCCCTAGACATTTTTTTGGATTGCATCAAAAAGTTGTAGGTTGTTGGTGGTAGGCGGTAGGTGGTGGTGGTCGTAGTAGTAGTAGTCGTCGTCGTCGTCGTAGTAGTAGTAGTAGTACGAAAAATTGACCTGGTTGTGGGCTCGGTTTAATTGGGGGGGTTTCTAGAAAGTACACTATTAGGGGGGCAATTTAGCTCCAATAATACAAAATAATACTGTCAATTTGGGTGAATTTGCGCGGCTGTGTGGGCTCGATTTAACTATAGGGGGGGTTATCAATCCTAACTTTGCATTAAGACGCAACCATTTGTTGAATCTTGCCTTTTTCACAAAATGTGTTTTTTCCGAAAGAAGCAACAGAAAATACAAAACAAATAATGAACGAAAAAGGAACAAGACTCTGACACAGGGGAGAAGAAAAGTCAAACAGCAACCAACCATAACCAACCAACGTATATATGGGGATGGGAGGACGACTCAGCGGGGATTCTGGATTGAAAGTTGGTTGTATTCTTTTCTAGTTCCCACCATCCTTCGTGGAAAATGGCTCAGTTGAATGCTGGATTTTGCACCAGTCAGGAACCGGTTTGTAGGACTCTCATGACTGTCATCAGTAGGTCGGCAAATTTTAAGAAGAAAGAGCACCAGGGTAGTTTCATGTTCTTCGCATATTGTGTGATATTAATTTGATAGTCTTATACAGTGTCCCTTATGTTTTACAACATTATACAGTTATACAAACAAAAATCATGTGATGAAATAATGCAAACACCGTACAACATAATATATCACTTTTCAACTGCATTCCGTGTTAAAATCATATTCCTTAGTCGTATTGTTTTTCATGTTTGATTCCTATTTTTGTCGTATTGTGTTTCATTTTAAAGAGATTTGAAGACTTAATCAAGAAAACAGCAACCCTGAGGATCCTGAAGGAGTTTGTATCTCTTAGAAAGAGTTTACACACAGTTAGAGTAGTTATTGCTTGCCATTTATGGAACGCCACACAATTTCGAGCTTCAATGCTGGCGCCCCTGGGAGGGCTTGTGATCCTCTCATCACCTTTATTGATGCAGGCAGTGCCAAGCGAACCCAATTGGTTTGTACTGTCGCGCTGGTCTCAGAAAAGTGGTTAGATTCGAATATTTTGTAAGGAGACAGCATGTGCACACCCAAAGGATTCAACTGGCCATGGCTTGTTGGGCTCTTTAAGAACAGTTGACCTGAATCAGGTAAAGGCGCATGTGCCGCATGTGCGCAAAACGCAGCACGCCCCACCCAACAGTGCTGTTGACAGGCCATAGTCACCTGAAACTAGTGGAGGCGGAGGCTGTTCGGATATAGAATTGTGCAGGTCCCCAGATATGTTCAGGGTCTTACTGCCCAGCGCAGAGGTTTAAGAACAGTGCTGTCGGAGTTTGCGACATTGCTGCGCGTACCATGCGTTGGGGTAGCTCAGAAGCTTTTGTGAAGAGAGTGCATGGTGTGATTATAATCAATCAAGCCAAAATTCAAAATAACACTAGAAGCCAAGTCAATCATTCCAAGGCTTCAAGGGTTGCGGTGCGTTCAATCCTACAACTGGTACTTAGCTTCTTAGTGATAGTGGAAGCTTCACGTGCTTTCTACCCCGTGCACCTTCCCAGCCTACCCTCCCTAAAGCACTATATGTGTTGGGCTTTTAAGCCCAGGCTAACGAGTAGCTAGTAGATGCTAGTGGTACAAAGTAGCTTCTAAGTTCTAAGCTTAAGTCAAGTGGCTAGCCTAGGACGCAGAAGAGCTCAGGCTTCTTCAATGAAGCTTACCTGAGGGCGGGGGATTTTGGACCTTAAGAGGATGTGTGCTTTGGAGATTCCTCAAGCGTACCCGAAGACTATTAGGTTGTAGGCCATCACTAGGACTAGGGTGGAGGCCATCGCTATTAGGTTGGAGGCCATTGCTATTTGCAGCAAAGCACTGGGCATTTCGCCCTTCACATCTAAGGCTTCATGTCTTCACCTGGGCATTCTGCCCGGCTCCTTAGGCCCTGCCCGGTGGGCAACAGCCCTGGCTCGTGCTTTGCGTTGGTTTTTGGCTTTTCAGCTTCACATGTCACACAGGTAGGTTGTGCGGTGCCCTTCATTGACAAATATATTTTTTGGTTTTGCTTCAAAATGCATCGAAGGATTTCAACGTTGTTGTGCTCTCCACAATCCTTTGGTTTTTGGACTGTTGCGAACAGTCAAAGTGATGCCATCCCTTGCTTCCATGTGCTCTTCATTCCAGACAAGCAATGCAAAAGGTGTGACACCTGTTGACTGAGGTGTTGATTTGGCATTGTAAATTGAAGAGCATTGAGTCCTCCGACAGAACATGAACAATGAATCTTTTCTCACCCGGTGGCCCGAAAAGACGTGCATACGGGTCTATTAAGACCTCAGGAATGAACGAAAGCAACGGAACAAGCGCAGCAATGCTGGTTTCATTGTACGCACCGAGGAGACCATTTTTGATGTTGCTTTTCATCCGAAGGACAGGCTGTGACTCTTGGGATTTGACCGTTCCGGGTTTGAAGGTGGAATATGGTGTGTTTCCTTGTGCGCTGTGTGCAGGATAGGTAGAGTATCAGTAGCTGGTGTAAGAGGTAAGCCGAGAAAGAGCTGCCCATGTGTCATCAGAACATCCCAGAGAAGTACGACGGTTTGTAAGACGGTTTGTAAGAGCCGCATATCCTCAAGAAGTAGCACAACATTTTTGGGCATGCAAGTTGCAGTGGGTAGTCATTGTTTCGTCAATATTATATTGGTTAACAGAAAGAGCTTGTGGCCGTGCAGCAGCATGGCCAAGTTCCCTTGCAAAAACACAGTTGGCAGCTGAGGTGAACGAACGCCGTTTGAAGGATCATGACTTATGTCAAAGGATTACTGGAATCCGGTGTTGTTCGTGTAGACAGCAGTCTGGGTTGAAGCCAGGCGTTGCCATATTGAGGTCATTCATTCATTCGTTTATTTATATATTCGCACATTGTGCAATTGGTTTCTTGGAGAGTGGCCGTCCTTGCCAGTGCATTTGGGCTCAAAAATTTCTGACCAGAGTCACAAAGGTCAATGTCAAGAACTTCCTGGAGTACTGACTACTTTGTGCGATCCAACAAGAGTTCCCCACCCAGTTGTGTGCATCGGTCCCAGGATCTGAGCTTTCCAACCCGGAACTATGGTGGCCAAAGCGGAGACGTCACCCGCATCCCAGAACACAGAGAGAGCTTCTTTATCGGTGGTGATGGCTATTGTGCTTGCAGCAGGCGCTTGGATGGGGTGGGTCGTGAGTTTGGTATCAGTCATTGAACGCCCTCCAGCCTTGGCACAGTCACTTAGCCACCAAACCAGGGCTATTTGCAACAGCATCATTGGGATCGACTTGTATATAGTCAATATAGTCCCTTGGTCCGGAAACTTGTTAAGCGTGGGCGTGATACATTCTGTCTACATTGAATACATATTTATATTAATATAGATAAATGAACTGCGCAAAGGTATATATGGACACGTTTGCATAGTTTCCTTCGCTATTTTTGCTGTCCAACCGAACTCTCGTTCTCAAGAAAATTTTGGCTCGATATACTGAAAGTTTCACGCAAAAGAAACGTTTGCACACTTGTGTTGCGACAATTTTGTGGATTCGATTATGCTCTATATCATATTGATCATATTGTGAGATTTGTCACATTGTCCGTCCTAGAGGCTTGTTTTGTGCATCGCCCTCGCTGCCATGACCAACGCATTCTTTTTCACAGTGCCTGGCAGCTGCGAGAAGGGGACTGTTTTCAGGCAATTTGTCGCAACCTTTGAGTCATCACGGTACACAGTACACATGGTTTTGTGGAGGGTTGGCACATATGTGCTGCTACTATCCATATTGACCTAGACTCCAACGTTTATTTTGCAGCTGAGTTTGATTGAATTCCCGATAGAACTGACTGTACACGGATTTTTGGAGAGTACCATAAAGTCATGAGCACTATGGCAGGCTTACAGCACCCGATCAGAAAGTTTTGCAGCTCCCTTTGCCTCCGGAAGCGATGCCTGGTGCTCCTTGGAATCAAAGATTAAGCGTATGCAATAGCATCACAGTTTTTTGATATATACATATAATGTTGGTAGATTGCCTGTTGCGTTGCCAAATGAGGTGGTGTGCCTGATTTGTTTTTCTGTTGCTTGGCTTGCTTGCTTTTCGGTTTTCTTGTTTGCCCGGCCATTTGTCGTCCGTGTGCTCGGCTGCTTGCTTGCCGAGTTTAGTCAAAAATTACAATCAAAAACCATTGGGTTGTTTACGATGTTTATGGGCAACAAGAGAATGCAGTAGCAAGCTGGAGTAAAGAGTGTTGAAGGGGATGGAGGACAGAGGTCGGAGATTGCGAAACTACGGAGGAATGGGATTTTTGCCGTGCTATACACATACTTGCTGCGCTTTTGGGATTTGTCTCATTGAGATAAACACCCCCCATCACATTAACTCCCCTTTCTTTGATCGTCTCAGAACGGAAACAGCTTTGCAAGGCTTTGCACTCTTCCAGAAAACCACATGTGCCGACTCTGCAGCCATTGTCTCAAAGAGGGCCTTTGGGGGGCCATAAGGCCGTTGGGGCCCAAGGCCACCATGCCACCTCCACGTCCCGAGTCCCAGGAGCCAGAGGAGGACTCGTCTGAGGAGACCTCCTCTTCAGAGGCCGAGCAGGAGCAGCCACCGCCCATCGCCTCTGCAGAGGCAGCTGCCTCCAGGGCAGCGGCCTTAGCAGAGCAACTTGCTGCCCGGACAGCAATCACGGCCATCGCCAAGGCTCCAGCGCCTTCTCCAGGCCGGGAGGCCCGCAACAACGGTTCGGCCTCACCCTTTGCGCGGCCTCGGGAGACCGGACCTTCGGTGGAGGTAGAGCCATTGATCTTAGAAGCGGAGCCACAGGATCTGGTGGTGATTGGCAACGCAGCGAACTGCGGCGCCTGGATTGGAAAGGCCATTACAGAAAGCCAGTTTGTGGCAGTGGTGAAGACACCCGTCGCACCTAGCACTTCTGTCATCGTTGATGCTCGACTGGCAGAGGAGGCTGCTTGACTGCATGGGAGCTACATAGTCTTTTTCCATGTCATTTGTAGAGCTACCGAGAAGCTAGGGTGACAATAACTACCATGTGATGGTTGCTGCAGTCAAATGTTTCGCCTCTCAGATAAACATTTGTGACCGCCCACTGGAAAGGCCTTGGGACTTTGTAGTTAGACAACTCATTTCCCCAGAGCCAGACCACAACCACTTTGATCAAACTGGCCTTTTTCACACCCACCTTTAGCAACAAACGGCCATTGCATCTTTCAATAGGGAAAAACCTCAAAGACCCACGGAACTTCCAGATCTGTGGAAGATGAGGCGAACATTAAGCCTGAGTTGTTACAGCGACGTTGGATGGCTTTGCGTGTCCGACGGCCCACCGGGGATCCTCGCTTGCCTTTGCGGGAGCTTAGTGCTCTTTGTGATCAATTGGTGCAAGCTGGTGTGGAACCACGAACCCTAGTGCCAATTGACTCGAGGAGCGTGCTTGTTTGATTTGCATTGATGCCCTTACATGGCAAAGGCATTTGGTTTTGCTTTGGTGACCCGGTTAGAGAGAGGGTTGCGATGTTGTTGCTATCAACATGCGATCAATGTCATCGTTTTTGTAGGAGCTACTTGCTCATGAGTCGAGAACATGTGCACGTCTCGGTGACCGCATTGGTGCAATGTGGCCATTTGGTGTCTCCAGCAAGACGCAACTTGGTTGGTTAGCTTACCCCTATTTTCCCTGCATCATTCTCTCCGCCGCTAACTGCTTCATACTGCCTGCAACAGGCTGCAGGGTACTGACAGCAAGCTTGTAATTAGTGGCAGGGCTTGTGCCACCAAAGCAGGGTTGCTTCACCCCTTCTCCTGCGACAAAACTCGTTTTCAACGGAAGCTTTATGTCATTCGCATGGATTTGGCTGCTACAGAAATGAGGCGTGGTAACTGCGATGCAACTTCCAGATGCTTCACCTGAATTGCCAGAGCCGCAGGTGCAGGGTGGAATACAATTGTGGTGCCAATGCATGAGAGGAATATGCACATTGACCAACCGCGGCTATACAATAGGACAAAGGGAAGCGATGTATATATGCAATAGTTGGTCATAATGTCAACTATAGTAGTGACAGATTTGATTGTGGAGCTGCATTGCATTGTGCCTTTAGTCACTGATACCCATCGAATTCATGCTTGATGGGTCTGCTTGGTTCTAGTTCTCTTCATTTGCATTTGTACACATGCTGATACTGACACTGAAAAGGTGAAACTGTGGATGCAGTAAACTTCCGCTCCCTTCTTCCTGAAAGGTGGGCGCATGGAAGTTGACTCAGCGTCATAGCCCAAACATTACAAAGGACTTCACCGGGGGAGATCTCTTCCAGTCCACCTTGAGAGTGCAGGCCGAGTTCGTCGGAAAGGAATTAAATAGTTGCAGTACTCAGTAGGCTTCCTTTGAATCACCATTGACAAATCTACTGACTACTGTAAATTATATATTTTTGAAATCAGCCTCGATATACACAGGCAAAGTGCGGCCTCTATGCTGAAGTGCGCGCAGCCGATCGCTCCGAGGCAGGAGAAGAAAGGCGGTTTTCACACCATGTTTTTGCTGCGTAGTGCCTGAGCAAACTTGTATTCTATTGCTGAGCACATTGTGGGAAGCCTTCCTTCCCCACTGCTATGTGCAGGTCTCCTCTGCATTCCATGCCCAACAAAGCTCCTTTGGCACGCTTCGCTTGGGTGGGGACGCTGGAGCTTGGCGGGATTCCATCGTGGAGTTCCAGCCATCAAAAGGATCGCCGCCTGCATCACTTCGCTTTACCATGCAATGCGATGACAAAGAACTGAAGGAGGAGACTGTACCGGCACAAGGATCTCAAGGCGCCTGGCAAAGCATTGGACTTGCCTTGGAAGATAAGATTCAAACAAGCTCCAAGCTACTAGGAACAAAGGGCATCGCTACTAGGAACAAGGACGCTACTAGGGGCTCCTGGCCTTACTACTAGGAGCAAGAAGCTACTATTAGACCTTTTTCCTATGTTTTTTAAAGAAAGGTGTCAGTTCGAACCGATCCTTCACGCATCGACCGCATTCGACCGTCAGGTGTGACTGAAATCTGGTCAAAGATCCCATTGTCTGAGAGGGTTACCGCTTTGGAGCTGGATTCTGATACGGCCAATGGTCGTGCTGGGATTTGGATGTTTGCCGGAAATCTTTTTCTCCGCATTATAGGTGCAGCCTGGCTGATACCAGAGAGTCTTTGACACCAAAAACATCAAAAAGCTATTGAACTATTACAGTGAATGCACCAAGGAATCTGAAAGAGGTCCCCAAATGTGTGGTCAATGAATGAGATACAACAGCATGCCTGTCACACACACATGTATACTATTGTATACTGTACATATGTGAAAGTTATTGCTTTGATTTTCTAGGAATGAAGAGTGGCACTGTGGCACTTTGTTTTAAGCATTTTTTAGCATCCAGCTGCAGGTACCACGAACCGAGAGCCTTCTTGGCTCCCACTGTTGCAGATCCTTGTCACAGCTCGAATATTTCCATGGGATCGACGCGGTTCAGAATGAGCTGCGAAACTTGCCAGACTTTTAGTGACATGTCTATGCTTGGCATCCTCACCTCATGGCGAATTGTCAGTCAACGTTTTCCATGTTTTGACCCGACGTGTATTTGATAGTGGGCCAGGAAAGTTTGAAGTGCTCGTGGGAGAAGTGGAACAACCTGGAGTCCTCCGAGCACATCGCTGCACGTGGCAGGATGACCCTTGGCAGCCACGAGATACACTTGGCCTTCTCTTTGTGTCACTCATATTCAATCCAAAGATGCAATGCTGATCCACTTAGATTCAACGAGATCAGACTCAGTGCATTCCTCAGGATGCAGTACCCAATCCTATAGGGCAGTTTCTTTTGGATGCTCGCCCCAACGCGGAGAGTGGTGGATCTGCGGAGGTGCAGCTGGAGAATGGCTGTGTTTTGCACCAAGATCCCGACGCTCGCCACTTTTGCAACTTCCTTTGTTTTCCCTTTTGCTTGACAGAACGCATGGCAGTGGCAGAACGCATTGAAGCTAGCGTGCGGCTAGCGGCTTACAAGTTTAAGTTGAGTCGAAGTGTCCATTACCAATATCAGACATGGCTTCACTGGTCCTGATGGTTACCTGATTCTCATGATTAGTTCATTCTATATCTGAGGATGGCAAACAGCTTCGTTGGCGCATCCATGAATGGGGCCCCGATCCCTTCACCGTACCAGAGCCAAGTGTGGAAAGCGAGCCAGAGCCTGCTCAAGACGCCCAGCAGGTCAGAAGGTTTTTGGGTTCATTTTGGGTACTTGCAGTTGAAGTCTGCGGTGGTGTTTGAAGAATCCGTGTGTCTTCAATTTGATGCATGTGTCCCATGCCTACAGGCAAGCGAGAGTGAGAGCGAAAGTGTCCGCAAGAAAAAGGACATTAAGGCGTGTGAAGACGTTTTCAAGTTGATATACCTTCCTGATGTTTTATAATTAATGGCTGAAGGGATCATTGTGTTTTCTTTACGTTTTCTGTCTTGCTAAGTGGCTTCTTCTGGGATTATGACATGTATGGAGAACAAATGTATAAAATGTATCGTGTTTTCGGTTTTGCCAGGTAGCTCCGTTTGGAGCTTTGACATGTCTGTGTGTGTATGCACAAGTGTACAAATGTATTATGGGATCCTCTTTGCTTTCGGCTTTGCTAGGTAGGTCCTTCTGGAGCATTTGAAGCCAAAGGGAACCGAAACCATTTTAGCCAAATGCCACAGAAGCCGACAGAAGCCATAGAACCACAAAGTCAAAAACCGCAGAAGTCATAGGAGCCGAAAGCCGCAGAAGTCATTGGAGCCGAAAGCCACAGAAGCCACAGAAGCCAAAAGCCACAGAACCGACGGATGCCAAAAGCCATAGAAACAAGCAATAACACATGAGACAAAGAAACAAGACAATCCAACAATAGAGACAAACAAAACCACAAATAAATTGCATTCCTTTGGAGTTGCACTGGAGCAGATAGTATGCAAAACAGAGCTCTTGAACACAAATTCTATACAAACAGATTCATTGTAGAGAACAATACCAAAATACATCAAAATACAATGTTATGTGCAAAAATGCTTGCTGATAGCTTTGGTTCCTTGTGTTGAGTGTGGACTGTCCATGGCGCGGGGACCTTTTTACACCGTGAACCCACGGGCTAAGAGCTTCACAGAGAGTCGCAGAGCTATATGGGGCACCTTGGACCTTCTGCCAGGCAGCATCGAAGGGTGCTGCTCCCAAGGGTAAGGCCAAAGCACAGGCTCAAAGTGCAAAAAAGGAGGAGACACAGTTTGGGTTGAAAGCTTGTTGTTGCCAAGCATAGCTTTGCCTTGAGTCCAACTGGCACGATGCGTTTTATTATGTTTGATTCAATCTTTTAAATATGATGTGTCTTCATCGTGAAATCCCATTAGGTCATGCTTCCGAGCTGGTATTGTACACTTTGAAACATGTGGCTGACTCAGGAGAAAGACTCAGATGAAGAGACTGAAGAGAAGACTGAAGAGAAGAAGGAGAAGGAGCACAAAAAGAAGAAACACAAGAAAGACAAAAATAAGGAAAAGGACAAGGAGAAGGATGATGAAAAGGATCGAAAGAGGGGCAGCAGTAGATCCAGATCCTCGTCTGAAGTCAAAAAGAAAAAAAAAGAAAGACAAGTCACGAGGTCGCAGTGAAAAGAAGGAGAAGAAAGAAAAAGATAAGGAGAAGCGCAAGAAGAAGAAATCCCAACGTTCAAGAAGTCACAGCCGCAGCAAGCGAAAGAAGAGCAAGTCTCGACGACGATCCAAGCGCCGCAGCCGTTCCAAGCGTCGAGCAAGCCCGGAGAAGGCACGACGGAAAGTTTCCTCCTCCAGGGAACGAAAGAAGCCATCCTCCAGCGAAGCTAAAAAGCGAGAGAAGGAAGTGAGAGAGACACGGGACGCGAGGGAGAAAGAAAAGGACCCAGTATTTAATATTTGGTTGTTGATGAGTGGAGGAGTTGGTAAACCCACAATTGCTTCGAGGCTTGAAACGCCGTGAAACACCCAGCGAGGTTGCGTTGTGCTTACAGTAATCCCTGAATCCTGTCAGTCATGTTTGGCGCCATTTGTCAAGACTTTCAATGATTTTTTTCCGGGTTGTTGAAAGCTCAACCATGATAGCCTTTCTGTCGATGTTTGAATCAATTGCTGAATACACCTGTCGGTTGAGCAATGCAAAACCTTTCAGGACGTGTCCAAAGACAAAGCGGACACTCCAAGTGGAGATCCTGAAGATCGGGAGGCGAGATTGAAGCGCTTTGCAGAGCAGAGCAAGCTCATTCCTCAGGCGATGGAGGCATTGAGGAATCTGAAGCCGGAGCTTCAGGACAAGATCATGGAAGAGGGCCCAATCAAAGAAGGGGATGGGAATCCCATTATCGTCCTCATGAGGAGAATCAAAGAAGTTGCCGAGTGGGCTCAACAAGAAGCCGATCGGGAGGAGAAAAGACCACAGGCTCCTGAGACGACACCAGAAGAGGAGGTAAAGGCCCCCAAGGCACCAGCACCGCCCTCTGGTGCAGAGGAGAATGGTGAGGACATGCCAGAGGCTGACCAGGCAATGCTACTAAGAGCATCTTTGTACTGAATTGCAATATTTTTGTAGTGTTAGGAACCCGCTCTTGATATTAGATTTGTGCAAACAGAGCTGAGTTTGATGTCTTCAAATTTGGGAGCCACTGCTTCTTTCGCTTGTGTGTTTGACTATGCTTTAATCATTGATGTTTGTTTTTCTCCACACTTCCCGATTTGAGGCATTTTCTTTGCAAAATCAGCTTCCGGAGAGTGCCACGGAGACCTTGAAGGCTTTGCCAGGGGAAGTGCTGATGAATGTCCTCATGCGAGGTCCTCTAGATGGCGGCGACCCCATGGCAGCCCTTAGGAAAAGAATAGAAGAGGTGAAATGATCACAGAGGCCGTGTGGAAAAAAAGGAGGCATTCTTCCTTTGTGTGGGTCCTCTTGACCAATTCTTGGCACATCTTCCTGTGCAGCTTTGGGTAGTGGCTGCAGTGCAAGCTGCAGTGGAAGGTAATAAGATGTAATAAGGCAGTTCCATTTTGTAGCGTTGCTTCTTCTGCTGGTAGGATGGGGACCTGGTTCGCCTGCTTTGTGTGCCAAGGATCAAATCCACCTGGAGAAAAACGGAGATGGCAATTGGGTCTTCAAACACGTCCTCAGAGTAGGCGGGCGGCTGGGCGGGCCATATTCTTCTGGAAGTGTTGCCTTTTTCACTGAATCAGCCCACATCATGGTCATATCAATAACACCTGCATTATATAACTATATATATATATTATAATTTCATAACTTCACCTACAGGCATAGTTGGAAACCACCAGCAGCTTCTCAGTTTGGTTCTCTGACAGATGACAGACTCACCATCCTGCTGCTCATGAGAGGGGTCTAGGCCATTTGTGATCATACGGTCTAGGCAATGTTCATCATATCATTCACTTTTTTGGGAGACTCGCAGGCCAACCTCTACCGATCACAAGCTTCACAATTCTTTCTTTGCAGGCGCAGAACAAAAGTCACCCGAGGTGGGATCCATGCCGGGACGTTTTGGTGCGCAGGAAGGTTCCTGGACGGTTCTTTGGAGCACTGAGCACTCTCAAAACTTGAAGCCATGCTTCCTTTACAATCTAGAGAGAGACGCCTTACAACAAAAGCATCTGAAGGATGTGAAAAGGTGTCCAAAAAACATAGTATTTAACTGCGAGGCGGCCGGCCAGCAAAGCAGTGCTGTTTTCTCCATTTGTTCATGTTCCACCAATATCTTTGGGAACCAAAGAGACAAATCAGCAACTCGCGACCATTTGCATGGAGTTTTGGGCACTCATGAAGGGTGCGATTGAACGTAGTCCAGCGGGCGATGTTGTGGAAGTTTCAAACCTTGGGGTCAATAGCTATTGAAAGCCGATAGACCATTTTGTCAATATGATAATCGTCTCTACACGTACAACCGTACAACCAGTTCATCAAACTGTATATGTGCATGGATTTGTATGCCTTTGTCACTGTATCGTCATCAATGCTATATACCTTCTGTGGATCAATGACTTGATGGATTCCTCTTTGACAAATCATAATAAATCATATATTTAAAGGCTTACGCCTAACAGCCGGGCGCCGGCCCACTTGGGTCTGTGGGGCGTATGTCACGCTTATGTTGGCCTTGGTGGGGCCTATATTGAGCAAAGTTAAGCTATCTGGCGCGCATCTTCGCCCTAGGTTGGGCCAAGTTGGGCCCATGTGGTCTATGTTGGGCACATCTTGGGCCCATGTGGAGCCTATGTTGGCCTATGTTAGGCGTATGTTGGCCTATGTTGGCCTAGGTTGGGCCTATGTTGGGCCTATGTTGGGGATATGTTGGCTATCTTGGGCCTATGTTGGGGATATGTTAGGCAATTTTATGTTGAAAAATCTTCCGATACAACTTTTTACGGATTTTCCTTCCCGCAAAGCAAAAACACTGGAAAAACCTACGTTTTTTGACATCGCCAAGCTGAAATTCTCGGTTGCCGAGGGGCCCGAAACCCTGTAAAACACAGTGTTTTTTATACCTCACACACACGATACACTGTAAATTACAGGGGCTTCAGTGACCCGGTAGTGACGACGGGGTCCCCCCGTTTTCGTGACGAGGGTCGGCGGCAGCCGGCGCGACCGTCTATAACCTTCGGTTACCACCGAAGGCCCTCCGGGCATGCCACGGGCGTCTTGGCCGGCGCCGGATTTACCACCAGGCTACCGCCTGCAGCCGCCGACCCCAAGGGAAAATGTAGTGGCAGGGTTGGGTCCTGGGATGGTCGCGGGCGGGGTCCTGCCAAAATCTAGACAAAGCCAAGAGCATTCCTACGAAAATGCTGGAAAAGCCGTATAGGCATGAGTACAACAATGGAAAAAAAGAGGTTAGCAAAAGGCTACCAATTTTGGGGGGAAATCTGGGAACCTAAAAACAAGAGGAAGCGCTAGAAAATTCTTGGAAAAGCATCCAGCCGAAAACGTAACAAAATCTAGACAAAGCCTAGAGCATTCCTAGGAAAATGCTGGAGAAGCCTTTGAAAATCCCATAAATCCAACAGAAAACGTGACAAAATCTACGAAAAAGCAAGGGCATTGGCCGGGACCACGCCGCGACCAGCCCGGGATTCGAGCCCGGGACCATTTTGGACCGTGCTTATTTTCCCACGCGGGTCGAGAGGGTGCCCCAAGATGTAAATCAATTGGGATGGCAGAATCTTGGACAATCCAGGTCACCATTAGGTCGCTTTCCCGTCAAATCCCGTAGCTATCAGGTCGCTTTTAGGTCGGGATTTCGTCACTGCAACAAGGGTCCTGAGGGGTAGGGGAGGTAAGGTCTAGGTCTAAGGCTAAGGACTAGGTCTAAGGCTAAGGATAAGGCTAAGGCTTAAGTCTAAGGCTAAGGCTAAGGCTTAAGGCTAAGGCTAAGGCTTAAGGCTAAGGCTAACATCGACAGTCACGCCTCACCCCACGGTGTGGGGTCGGCGGATATAGAGAGAGGGAGTGGCTTTTGCTTACATGTAATATAATGTTTGTCCTTTTAATGTCTCTTCTTGGGACCCTTACACTCCTTGCACCCTGTTTTTACCTTCCTTTGTTCATTCTTTTTGAAGGAGTTGGCAAAGGACTTGCATGGCCCTGATGTCGTCAAGGCCGGCTCAAGGGCGTGAACTTCCAGAGCCATGAAGAATCGTCAATTTGTTGGAACCAACCCTTTCTAGGTGTATTTTGTGGTGAGTGGGTACGTATATATTTTGAAATTCACCATGATTTGGCAAGGTGGGAGACCATGGACTATTCCAACCATGAGTCTTTTGAGTTCTTTGATTGTGTGCTTTTCAACCCATGTCATTGCAAAAGTCGGAGCCCAAAGAATTTTTAAATTTGTTCGGACAAGCAATGACCGAATGCGACTATTGTTGCGATTTGGAAAAAACAGAAGCAACAACGCCTGAATTGAGAACAATGGTTGACATGATCGAGGTACATGGAATATAAGTTTGGCTTGTGAATTGAATCTTCAGACTTGCACATGTCCTACTTGCAGTCTTCAGACGCTGCACATGTACTCAGGTGCGCTTGGACACTACAAAGGGCCCCTTGATTCTGCGCTTGGTGCCACATTGGTCTCCCAATGGCTGCAAGCGTTTGCTGCAGATGGTGGACGATGGCTTTTTCAAGGAACAGCTGTCATTGTCAGCAAATGTTGACCTACCTGATGTGCAGTATGATTCACGGGAACATGTACTAGTGTCATGGTTTGGCATATGATTCAGAAGCCATCAATGGAGCCGGATTCTGACCAGGACATCGCGATTTATCGCGGCATTGAGAATTTTCTGTTGCAGTTTGGTGTTGCCACTTGCCTTTGTGTACCAGTACTAGTCACAAGGGCTCACTGAAAGTACGCTAGCGGCATGTTGATTCCCAAATTGTTCTGCCTGGGGAAGTTCATCTATGATCTTCATTTGAACATCTCCGACTCTAAGGACTCTAAGTAGGTAAAATGCACTTCATCGCAGTGGCTTTTTGAGAGGAAGTTACAGGTGTGGTTTTGTGCTGTTGGCCTCACACATCCCTTGCAACATATGTCCAGCTTGCAAAATGAATGTATAGGAACTTTCGAACGTGCAATGGAAGTAGTCTAAGCAAGTTGTGGACACCCTTAAGTTAAAGAATGGTCAAAGGGTCAACTCCACATTGATACTATGTACAGTTTTTGGAATGTATCGATAAACATATGGATGTATATATGGTTTAAATATATGTTTGATCGTTTGTGCAAACTATACTCCCAGACCCTTTGCAGCTCATGCGCGTAGAGCCTTTTGTTTGGGCCAGCTACTGTATGCATTTACCACACAGTCAGTGCAAATTGTGTAGAGTAACTTATTACCTTCCTCCAGGATCCTTCTTCAGCAAGGCTTTTTGATCTTGAGGATTTGAACCTTTACTCACCGAGCTGACCATGAGGTCGAAGATCCCAAGCGAGCGGGCGGCTATGAGAAGATCATGGACGATCCCTTGTGTGGCGTGCCATATCTCGAAGGCTGAATTATATAGTAGACTCAGTAGACCCACTCTGACTCACCTTGAAAAGTTGAAATGATCCGGTGGGTCTCGAAAGAGAGATGGCCAAGAATCAGAGATTAAAGTGAATTGTGTTGCTTTGCACCACGGTAGCAACGCAGCTTGCATTCCTCTATGTATGTATGCTATATTTATTGATGCATGTTGACTTGTTAGTGTACAGTATGGATATGTTTTTGTTCCTCCCAAGTGTGTGCAGGTATGGTTGGCTTTGCTGCAGCTGGTCCTAACACGCGGACCCAACAGCTGTGCCTATTCCTTGGTACCTTGGTTCCAAAAAAGCTACACAGGTCTTGAGTAGCACCATGTAGCACCTGTTGAGAAATAGTTTGTCTATACACATTGGAGTTGCTTCAACATCAAGTTGTTTACAGCCAAAAGTTTGTTTGACCTCCAGCTCTTAGGGTTTGATGTCAGGCAGTGCTCCCTCCTTGGGCAAGAACTCGGTGGAGACTCCCATTGGGCGTGTTGCTGAATGCAGCCTTGGCACTTTGCGAAAGATACAGCTCATGGGAGACATCCCGCAATGTGGAGGTCGAATTGCTCCCGTCGTGTCGGAGGGTCACCACATCGTGCTAAGTGACTAAGGGATGGCCTCCAACCTAATAGCGATGGCCTCCACCCCAAGTGACTGAGTGCTTCACATCGTTGTATCGTTGAGGCATTTTGTTGCGCGGTTGGCTCGTTGCCACCAGGCTCTGGCCCTGATCCGCAGAAGTTGGCCAACCTGGGAAATGCCAGAGGCCCAGTTTGTTCAGAGGAGCGGAAGAATGCCAACATACTGGTACAAATGCCATGCCATGCTGTTCCTACTTTTGAACTTTCAGGCCTACATTGCTGAGAATTTCCCAAAGTGTGACTTCATTACTGGAGCGTCACGTGTGCCTTGAAAGCCGGCTCGAAGCAAACCAGACCGTGATGAAGCACTTTCCAGCAATCCTGACAGGTTCGAAAGGGATGCTTCTAAAACAGCAAACCTACTATTATTGAAACAGTAAACCTCTGCGAAGTGTGTTTTGCCTCTTCCCTGCACTTGTTTATGCTCTCCTCGAATTTCACTGCTTTATTTTGACATTCTCGTGAGTCACAATTGTCGGTCTTTCCTTAGCTTTTGTCGCGCTTTGCTGTCTTTGCTTCTCCCCACTCTTCGCTGATATCCCAGCTTTGTAGGCTCTTTCGTTTCATCAGCTTGCCTGCTCATTCCTGACACTTCTTGTGACAATCTTCATATTTGTCCCTTTGTCCACCTACTCTGTTCCAAGTTTTCTCATTTCAGTCATTTTAATATAGTTCCGACTGTCCTTTATTTGTCGTTGCTCTTCTTTGTCGACCTCTCGACTTTTCTTACCCTCTTCATCCACACTTCTTCAATGTGCCTATTGAGTCTTCTTGGCAGCTTCGCCCCTGAGTGCACAGCTGACCTGGATTTGCTTACCAGGGGCCCTTACCACCTCCTTTTCACATCTTTTCATCACTCTTTTTCCTTACTAGTAGTAACAAGAAGCTAGTAGAAACAAGTGCCACGCTAGTAGTAACAAGTGCCTTACTAGTAGTAACAAGTGCACTGTGCCTCAGTTCAGTGCAATCTTCCTCGCCAACACCAATTCCAGCCTCACATCCTCCGACACCTCCACTCCACAAATAGACAGTGTTGCCTGTTTGTGATTCGTACTCACTTAGACACTCTTCTTGCTTCCACACGTTTGGAATGTGGTAGTTTCGCTTGTAGCTATACGGTGCTGGCTGGAAAGGGAGGTGTCACGCATGGACCAGAAGTCCTGACATAAATGTTTTGAGATTTCTGATGTCGATCTTCCAGCAATGCAAGGTTCAACAGTTTTGTAATGTACAATTTTAGCGAACACGGATGTGGCACCAGAAGTTCTGTTTCTACAGGACCACATGTCAACTATTGCACGGACCTTTACTCATCGTTGGTTGGAGGAAGCAAATATGGAGTCAATGCAATGGCCTCCAACCTAATAGCGATGGTCTCCACCCTAGCAGCGATGGCCTCCAACCTACTAGCGATGGCCTCCAAAAACAAGTCAATAATTGTTTCTGTCGCTTAGTCTCAAGCCTTAGCCAGCGATGTATAAGTTTATGCTTAAGGATCCAGTTCAATGTCTAACTTTCTGCGTTGAATCATTTTTGCAACACCTTTCAAATGAGCAGATGCTGGATTCGACCTTGCAGCACATTGCGCTTAATTCACTCCGTGGTCCTTCGCAATTAGAAGACTTAGCTACATAGTGCTATAGACATAATGCAGAGAGGCATTCGCACGATTTAAAAGTCCGCTTGTCCAGAAAGAGTTTCAACGGGAACCAGCAAGCCAGAACCGATGGTTTGGCGTGCAAACTTTGAACATTTTACAATTTCGATATCATATATATATATATATATTAAATTTAACACACAGACATATATATATATATGCACACACTACATCCATATACTACTGTAACCAGAAGCTATAGGTTGCTCCCTGGCTTCCACGATTCATTTCGGCACGCTTTGGCTATCCACTGCATATGGCCTGCAGCTGTCTTGCCGATCATACAAAGGGGCCTGCAGGGCCTGAAGATGAGATACTGAATGGGTACCGATTACACTCGATCATTGTTGCTCTTAGGCCTCCAACAAACTAGTCTAATCAAAGGAGTGGTTCAGTCAGGACATGTCTTTATCCTAGCCATCACGCGTTTTCCTCACACCTGTCTACAGGTCAAATCTTCTGTGTGACACTTCTTCAACGCATGGATTCACGTACCAAGCTGGAGTGCTTAGGCACAGTGGAAAGTGTAAGGATTTGTGAGTTCATTTAAGACTTCATTTGATCTTGCTGATGGCTCCTGATCCGCCATGGGCAAACCGAAGCCGTGCCTTTTGCCTCTCTCTGCCACAACGGCCAGAGCGATTTGCAGATGCCAAAGCAGCGTTGCAGGCCAAACCTTTTTGGAGGCTTTCTCTGTCAGCCAGAGCTAGCTTGCAGTGATTCTCAATGCACAATTGAAATTGTTTTTAATGGTTCTTCCTCCAACATCTTGTGTTTGGAGTCCAACACCCCTGCATGGGGCACTTCACTTCGATCGCTTTCTCTCATGCATGGCATTTATGGTCACCTGTACAGAGCACTTGCAAGGCAATCCTGCTGCCGATTGAGCTGGAGATGTTCCCTGGAGTCTATGGAGACATAGCAGCACAGAGAGCCAGAGAGCATTGATGTGGCTGCCTGTGCTAAAGAGCCAACCAGCCGAGAGCAAACTAGTGCCCACAAAGAACCAGAACCTGGACGTTTCATGTGTATGGCATGGTATGTAGCAGGGTGCAGGAAAGAGTTTCTCGCTTGCCTATTCTGCATTGCTTGCTGTGAATGCGCATGCTATTCTACTGCAAAAGAGGATTCCAGGTTCAGGTTTTCCTCCATTCATCCGCATTTGCAAGTGGGTGTTGAGAGAGAAGACATTGTAAAGATTGGGCAACGTGGTGAAGTTGGCAGAAGCAGACCACATTCTCGCGTAGACACCCCATGTTGATGGTTCCCGCTTAATGTGACTGTCCATCAAGCGCTGCCAAAAACAGAAAAAACTCAGTTCTGCAGGCATTCTTTGTTTGCTCGACTTGCTTGTGCCGGGTGAACGGTCCTCGGAACATATTTGCTAGGTAGGATACATGGCCTTGAGGGAGCACCACTGTGTTGAAGAACGTTGTTGTGTTTTGTTTGTCGATCAAGGAAATGATTTCCGTCACCATTTGCCAGACTTGGATGCATTGGAAGAAAGCATGGGATGCCGTTTGTATCGACAGTGGCCAATCTGCGAGGCGAGGATGGTGAGGAGGGCTGGACATGCAGGGAACAAACAACTATCGTAAGCGAAGAGACATGTGCCATGCTCATGGGGCGGCCCAGTATAATGAATCCTTTTGACGGTGCTTTCCGAGGTGGAGGATGTACTGCAGATGAAGCCAGAGTTGCAGAGCTTGCCTGACTGGAAAGTTTGGGAAGCCTACATTAACTGGCACAAATGCTGGATCTCTGATCGCGCAAGCAACTACATTGACTTTTACAACCGTCACCTTAAATTGGGGGAGGTAGCAGCTTGCTTGGGACATTTCCGCCTTTGGCAGAAAGCCTTGGAGGAGGATTTAGATGTTTGCCTGGTCTTTGAGGATGATGCAAGGCCAAGTACACTGCTTTGATTGAGTATGATTGTTTGCAGATACGGGTCTCATAAATCTTGCATGGACGGGAGACTTACCGTGTGCCCCGTGTGTGACACACTTGCCGGTTCTTTGCCAGAGGAAGTAGACACTGCTCGGAGTTCTCCACTCTGGGCGAAGTACCTCAGTCGGCATCGACCAACTCTAATGCACTGTCCAAGGTGTGGATGCAGTGCAGCGGCTTGTTTCAGAACTGTCGGCTTTGGAGGCAGGAAGTGTGCAATGGGACCTCATTTACTTGCACTCCGCGCTTTACTCCAAGGCTGCCGAGGTTCCTGTGTCTTGGCAGACAGTCACAACACTTAGCTTGAGGCAGCTGGGTGTTTTTAGAACTGATAGAGCCTGAGAGATGTAACTGAACCAACCTCACAGCTTAAAGAAGGCAGGTGCGATTCCAGAATTGCTTTAGAGCCTGAGAGAACGACAACAATAAGAGGAACTGCACGATGACATGACATGTTCAGGTGCCCTTGGCACACAGAACTTATACTATTTGTTTATGTAATTGTTGCATGTTTGTTTGTTTGCTGCTCCAAACTCGAAAGACGTTTATTATAGGTGGTAGTTATAGGTGCAAATGTGTTCTTGCATGGCGCTGTCAGGTTCCAGGCTGTAAGGAGCTCTTGGTCGCGGGACACCGCAAGTGGGCAGGGGCCTATGTCGTGTCACGAAGGGGGCTGGACAAATTGGTCTCAAGCGGCTATGACCAATGTACTTGGGCAAGGCACTCGTTGACCATGTCAATTTGTTTTGCATTGAGTGCAATTCAGCCGTTAGTGAAGTGCACACCGCAGAATGCAAGTGCACCGTACTTGGATGTTCGGATATTCCCTTCCGTTCTGGACCGTTCTGATGTCTTTTGAGATTTGTGTGATCCTTGAGGTATCTTCCCTGTGGATGACTTCTTGCCCGCTTTGCATTCCTTTCATCCACGCCCAGACATACGTGAATTGCCCTGTGTGTCCAATCTTTGCGACAACTTTGTCGCACTGACCTTCCCGCAGGATGCCAAGATTGTTCAGGTGCATGGGGCCTTGGGGGCCAAGATCGTTGTATTATTATTATTGTTTATTGTTTCAAGGGTGGGGGGTAGGCCGCTAGGAGGTAGTAGCTAGAGGTAGGTAGCTAGCTAGTAGCTACAAGTAGCTACTACTTAGGACGCAGGATAGCTCACGCTTCCCGCCGCCCTAAAGGCAGCGGAGGGAGCCTCCTTGAAGAAGCGCTCGCACTATTCATTTGGTTCCTAGATGTTTAGTTTAGGGAAACTTAAACTATATTTTATATATATATACATATATCGATCAAAGACGTTAAATTTGAGACTGAAAGGCATCCCAGGAAGTTCGGCCAACAATCATAAGAGATCGCAATAAATCGCAGACCGAGACCAGGAAAACCTTTTTATCTGACTTATTTGACAATTAACGTGTTCTGACTGAGTTTAGAATCTAGAAGAAGGTTGTTCATGGCACCGCCGCCATTAGCGGCTGTTGGGATTGTGCATGATTTTGCTACTTTTGTCAACTTTTAGGTTTAAATGTGTTTTGGGTTCCTTTGAGGTGGGTTTTCGGGTGTCACAGTGCTTCATTTCAGGATGCCTCCACCGGTGTTTTCGTGGCTTGTTTTCTTTTCAATGGGGGAAGGTTCGGGTCACCAGGTTGCTTTTACTTGTAGGGGTTCCAGTCAGGTTCGGATGGTTTCTCCGTTGTCATCGCGCTTGGTTCGCAGTTCTCGCTTCGTTCGCGTCGCACCTCGGCCGTTCGTTTGCCATTGTGAGAGCGTGAAGCTTACCGAACCAACCGTTTCCACTCCGCCATGCTGACGGCTGTGGAGTTCTTTGAGTTCTTCTCGCTGTTGCTGGCTTTGCATCAGCTACAAGGAGTGCCGTGGGATTACCTGCTCAATGAGTTGGCTTTCTTGCGTCAACTGACTCCGCTGCTAGTGATGAGTCGGTTTGAGTTGTACGTACGCCAATGAGTTATTCAAAAAAACAAAGAAAGACAAAGTAGATCAGCTGGACCTGCAGACAAAGGCCACAAAAAGGAACATGAAGGGGCCACTCCGGCCAGGAATAGTTCAGCTATGCTGTGGCGCTGCTTGCCTGGTTGTGCCTCTGCTGTTGCTTTGCCAGCCTTTCGACGTCTTCGGGGAAGTCCTCTTGGATAAGGTCGTCAACTACCCTGGCCCTTTGGGCCCCCTGGCGCACAGCGCCCGTGCCGCAGCTATGGTGGCAGATGAGCGCGGAAGCAGCTTTGCAGCAGCAGCCGCGGATGCAGCACTGTACGCTAAGTCACACGGCAGTTGGAGCGCTGTGTGTCTGGGCATGGGATGAAGCTTGGGCAGGGCTTACCAATTGACGATGGCTACCATTCTGAACTCGATGATGAACCTGTTGAAAGCAGTCTCTTTAGGCTCACTTGGCTGTTTTGCACGGGTTTGTTTGGTTTTGGGCTTTCACCTTCAATCAACCCGCACACGTTCTGCGGACTGGGAAGGTTCGACGCAAAAGACGACCAAGATCGCACTCATGTGTTTTTCCCCTTCCTTCGTGCACAGTCTTGCCCAAAAAGGGGGCCGGAAAGGCTCGGAAGTGTGGCAAGAAAAGATTGCCAAAGAATCCATGCACTGGGAAACTGGGAAAGGCCGACGCTCAAGGCGACAAAAATCGCAATCGTGTCTTTCTTCCAATCCTTCGCGAACAGTCTTGCCCACAAGGTGGGCCGGCAAGGCTCGGATGTGTGGCAAGCAACGCTTGCCGAAGTCATGGAAGTTCACTTGCAGGAGACGAAGCGGAACTCCGGGGAGCGTTGAGTTGCTTGACTTGTCTCCCTGTGGACCTGCCTGCCATCATAATATTTACCCGGCTGCGCACGCGCGATCCATGTTCCAGAATCAGGTGGCGTCAACGCACGCGACGCAATTCATGGAAGCTCACTTGCACGCCAACCTTCAACATGTATCAAATACCGTGGAAGGAGGAGCAGGTGGAATTGCTCGAACAAAACGGCGCCGTAAACAGAAGATAGGTGCCTGGGCTGCCTGGGGCAATGAAACCAACAATTTGCTGAAAAGAATGTTTGAATCAAGGAGGTAACCCGCAGGTGCAGCAGCTGGCTCAGCTGCTTAGTTCTGCACTGCTGTCTAAGGACAGCCCGGCAACTCAAACCCAGAACCAGACCTGGCACGCTCAGGATTGCCAGATTTGGAAAGGACACCGCTATAAGGTTGACCCCACCACTGGCTGTGGGCTTGGCTTGGTACTGCCGACCAAGGTCAGAGCCTGCGAATTCCGACAGCGACCGACAGCTGCCAGACAAATTGATCTTGAGCATCAACCCTTTAAACCCCCGAAGCTTGTTCTGAAGGAGGGTTTAGATCGAAGCTACCACAAAATCACCTTCTTACGAAAAACTGATTGGGCCCCCATGGTTGTCCCCTCCTTAGTTTCCTACGGAAAGCTTGAGCAAGGCCGTAGTTGAGATTTGGGACCCTGCTATAGCCTTGATGATGTGCTTGCGTTCGGTGATCCGGGTCCCCTCACTGTTTTAGGCACTTGTGATCTTGCGGGTGTTGGAGGACACCCCGCTCGAGTTTCCATTTCCCTAGGGAAGTTTGGCTCCAAGCTTGAACCAGTGTGGCTCAAGAAAGTTGGTTCCAGAACAGTCCCTGGGTCTTTGACCCAACCAAAGTTCAGAAAACTGCTTTGCCAAGGAGCGATGATGTGAACTTGGAAGGTGCTGGGGAAGCTGTTAGTGCAGTTTTCACTCACTCAATACCCCTATGTCCGATTGCCCTCCCTGCATTCCTCTGCTTGGAGTGCTGCATTGGCTGGGCGCCAGTTACATCCACCGTCCCCAAACTGTTCGCCTCGCTCGGTCCGTACGCATCCTAGGTAAACAGCCGCCTAGACCAGTACGGAGAAGAACTACGTATAAGCGTGCGCTCAGTCCTGTTGAAAAGCGCGGGTTCGCTTTTTGTACACAGTTCAAAACTGGTGGTAGTCACGTTGACCTGATAACATTCCGATCTTCAGTTGACTTTGATTCTTTGAGTCTTGGAACCCGTCACACCACCTCTGAGCCACTGGAGGATGTCTTGCTGAGGATCCTGAGGTCATTCATAATTCTCGGCAGTTTGCACAGCTGCTCAACGTTGGCCTTGAACCTCGAGTGTGCATGGACAGGTCCTCTTTGCGAATCTCGAATTGAAGGAGCTCCAGGGACGAGACAGCTCAGTTCCCGCAGATCTTACCACCTAGAATCTTGGCATCCTGATGTTGATCCTCACACTGTGATCTCAAAACTACAGCTTTGCATGTTGAGCCTTCCTTTGATGTGCCCAAGCAAGCTCAAGGGTGGACCTGTCCTTGGTGCCCTGCGGCGCCACTGAAAGGCCTCTCGAAAGGCGCAGATGATCCTGATCTGTGTGCGCAGATGATCCCCTGTCCGGGAAGCTCCGAGCAAGGACTTTGATCACGTGCGCTCAATGCTTCAGAATGAGCAATGCTAGTGGGGATTCTCCAGGTGCTGGGAGATCTGGGACCAAAAGGTGGTCAGCTACGGAAAGTTCAAATTTTGCCCTCCTTCTTGCTACTTGGCAAGTTTTTCAGGAGGTGGCCGACGAGGGCATCGTTCCTTCTCAGTCCTCAGCGGATATAGCCGTCTTGCTGGCCACCGCTATGAACGAGTTGGCGAAGCAAAACTCCCGGGCCCTTGTCCTGAAACTGCTGGCGGACCTTGCAAAGCAAAGGAACATGTTGGGTTTTGTCACACAGAAGCTTCAATCTTTGCTGGAATTCAGGGTGGTTCCCAGCTACTGGTTCTTGCTGTCAGTGGATTGCGCGCTGCAACCGGCTATGCTCCGCCGGATCGCGCGGGCGCTCCACGAAGTGATTTGTGTGTGTTTGCTTCAAGACTGGTCACAGCACAGCGCTCAACCCTTCAATGAGGAGCCAGCTGACAGTCAAATCGTCACTCATTTGGCCAGTGGCATCCCTCTTCAGGTTTTCCGGCTGGAAAGGACACAGAGAAGTTGATTGTTTCATCACTCATCGAAGCCTTGATTTTAGTTCACCTTCTCAAGTTTTGTTTGTTCCTCTTAGGATCAGTTGGCTTCACCAGTTTCATGAACTCCAAACTTTTCAGAAACCTGCTGGGCTTGACGTTGCTTCTTGGCGGCAGACTTTAGGCCTTTGTTGGGAGACCTCCAGATGTAGCTTCTTTCCAACATAAATACATCTTACAGTCAACCCCGGTGTCCGAGTTGAGTGGGATAAGTTTCAGCTGGCCCTGAGATCCAGCGGGATGCCCTCGGCAAGGCCCGCTCCAAACCTACCAAGGGTGCTGAAGCTAAGCGTCGGTGGCAATCGAGCTGATGTTGACACTGACACCTTTCGGTTGAGACATATGAGGAAACGGTTGGCCTGCGTGTCTGAAAAGGCTTCATGTGCTTGGGCATCGACATGAGCGTCCTGTATACAGTTCACTTTGTCAGAAACTTGAATTGTCACGACCTTCTCTCCCCTCCTTGAACCTTGAGATTTACACCCTACATGCTGATGTACGGACTCAAAGCAAGAACTTGAAAGCACGGCGGCTTCGCACTTGGAGACAGAATATGATTGATGTCAAAAGTCTTGGGAAACGGCTGAAGTCCAAAGGAGAACCTGCAGTCTACCACATCGAATCCGATGGTTCCCCCACGACCTCTTTGAGTGAATGGGCGCCAGTTATCCATTGGTACTGGGACAACTTTTGGATTGAACGAGCTACAGATGCTCAAATCCGTGATCACCTTTCTCGAGATCTTCCACCACAGAAATTCTTTGAACAGGCTGCTCCAAGCCATGAGCTCCTTGTCACAACTGTCCGCCGACAAAGAGGCAGTGCTGGGCCAGATGGATGGAGCGCCGAAGAAATTCGCCACCTTCCCGAAGGGGCGGTGGGGCTTTTTAGGCAACCGGCTCTTCTTCCTTAGTTTCCACCGCCCCAAAAAGATTAATTGCCCACAGTTTAGTCATTGG